CACGTCCCTGTGTTAACCTGCTTTAGAACTTAATAAGTAACTAAATGGCACATAAAATCACACAGAACCAACACTTTACATGCTGTTCAAAAATTAAAATATTCTGCTGAACACAAGCCCCAAAACTGTCCTGTGGTATTTGTATACACACTGATGAAAGCAGATTATTTGTAACAGAGGTACTGCACCTCTACCCAATACAACTTTCAAAATCAACTGCACTGCATGGGACTATCTCTTGTGAAAAATGTGGACCCCAAAACAGAAAATGTAAGTAAGACCAAATATTAAAATCATTTTATCTTCGAATTCTACTACCTAATCCTTCTGGATCACAAGTGGATTAATTTACTCATTTTAAGTGACAACTTGTGTAAAATTTGCTGATGTTATATGTCTTCTCAAATGGTCAGATCTGAAGGTAATTAATCTTATAAATAATCTTACTCAGTCCAGTAGAAGTCCTACTAATTCACTTTCAGATAGGACTCGAAAAGAAAAAAGCGTAAAAACTGGGTCACGTTGATCTCTGTGGACGGCCATATGAAGAAGCTCATGGAAGACTAACTCTGATGCTGAAAAATGGCATGGAAAATATGCAGAATTATTTTATGTTTTTAACATAGTAGCTCACTGTTCTGCTCACACCTTATCTCCAAATTCAGGACATAGTATTGAGAGGAAAATTGGTGAATTGTTGACATTTCTGGAACTTGGACTGTAGCTTGAGAATTTCAGACACTTGTGTGGTCATCTAGTTATTTAGTATAAGACATTTTTCTATTGCCTAAGGAATTCATAATGTTTTAAAAGAATTTTCTCCCATTCTTATAGATGGAAACACATGAAACATTGCTACCCAGGAAAATGAGGATACCGTAAGAGTGATTTGCACGGTTATTTTAACATCAAATCTAGCACTCTGACTTCTCCTCTGAGGCCCCACATTTAAGAAAGCAACTTACCAGAAGTGCTGATCCTCCTGACATCCCACTTACTGAACTTCATTTAATCTAAATTCCCTTTATTTCAGCCTGATTAAAGTCAACTCCAAAATCTCTTTAGGTTCTTTTAATTGGGATTTGAGTTTTACATCACAAAATCTTTTCTTCTGTCTTCCTGTAGCACCACATATTCAATTTCGCTGATAATGAAGCAGCAGGAAATTCAGTACTGTAAAATCCCTATTTATTTCCAGAATACCACCTACTTTAGGAGCTGAAGGAAGATGAGGACATCTGGATGAAAAAATACAAACCTATGATATTAAATGTTACATTAAAATACATGCCTACCAATAGGTGAAATTGAATCACATCCTCGATCCACATAAATGTGTTTTCTTGACTTTCCAAACTTATTTTTGACATTTTAAACCACACTTAAAAAGATGAAGTATAGTCGATGCTAATAGCTGTACATAACTACTATCTTTCTTCCACTGTATCACTACAATGCTTTCAGCACTGTAGTGCTCAACTCTGTCACCTGAATTGAAAATACAAAAAATGCAAACACAGAAGCACAATGCAGATTCAGCTTCTTTCTTCAGAACTCCACTCCACAGTTCAGGCATAAAATTACAGACTGCTGAGTAATGTCAGCAGCAGTGGCCTATACACACATGAAAACCTCACTTTTAGAGAGCAGAGTTTTTAGTGGCTTTTCTGTTTGAAAATGACTCTGCTCCCATATTGACCTACTTCCACATGCCATGCCATTGTACTAGATTACTGTCTTCTTTAAAGAGATACAGAAGTAATGTTAGTGGCCAGCAGTAGGAAGTAGGAGCTTGGATAAAGTTTCCTGGCTCCTATCATCCCAAATGCCACCTTGCCCAGCCTCTCATGGGAAGAACTGAATCAAGAGTATCATTCTGCTTATACCCCAGCCAGCATTTCATGCTGCACATGGAAACAGAGCTCCACTACTGATGAGAAATGAATTGACTTGAAGACATCCAGCTAACGTGAGCTAGCCAAGCATAGCTGGAAGGCAGTAGCTGTGGACAGCTTTAGATCAGGAAAAATAAAATGTTTTCCACAAAAGTAATGAAAGGCAACTTTTATCTGAATGGTCTTCCAGATAGCTTAGAATGCAGAAAGTTGAGTTGTTACAATATTTTTGCAGTGCAAACTCTTAGTGAACTAAATACAGACAGAAGTACCATTCTTCTGCTGTTTCTATAATCTTCTGATATTCAAAAAAACTCAAACTCTTCACTTTCACAATCCAGGAGTGAGTTGCAGGTCTGGGCGCAAATTCCTTGACAGAAGATGAGCAGTTCATTGAAAAAGGACTGCAGTTTGCCAGTATTCAAAGATAGATGAACATGTTTTCTGTGATTTCATTTATTCATACGATCTGTAAGGACAAGTGAAACTGCAGAAGCACATATAGAGATTGATTTTCTGTTTAAAGATGTACTAGGGAGAAGACAACTATGAAATAACACAAAGTTTTGACCAGGAGTTTCTTTCACTGGCTTTTTCACCTGCTTTTTACAGCAACAGATGGTGATGTTCCTCCATTTCTTTAAGTTCATATTCACTGCTGTCTGCCAATATATTCTCCTGTCCTCATATAAATTCACATTGGTAACATTCAGCTCTCAGAGGAACTACAACCAGATACTAGCTGCTTCTTGACTACACTCCCTCCAAGCCCACAACACTTGCGGTCTGTCTTACATATTTGCTTTATACACACCTTAGTGCTTCAGCACACCTTTATGTAACTGACCTCATTTTGGCCTGGCTCTGTTTGTTGGGATTGCTCCCATATTAATGCTATTTCTTTATATACAGTCATAAGCAGATGACTACATGAAAATGAGAAGTTTCTGGGAAAATGCTTGATTTGTTAACTGGGCCATTCAGTAAAGGCAAGTAGATCACTGACAACTACGACATTAAAGAATTAGTCTTTAGTATGGCATATTACAGAGACACATGATGACAAAGATTTAGCAGTTCCAGAAAGAGGTGTACAATGCTATCAGGAAGACCCCAAACTGGACTGTGCAGATCAGCCCGTGGAACATCCCTTGCAGGAGTCACCAGATGTCTGCTGAGTTACTATAGCTCTGATTAATGTCGCAAACTGTGTTACATTGCAAATGGATTTTCCTCTGTTTACTTTTAATCCCAGGCCTTGCAAAAAGGCTGCAAGCATCTCAAATAATCACAGAATCATGAAAGCATATGAGTTGGAAAAGACTTTCAAGATCATTAAATCTAAACACTGACCTGACTTAAGGAGTCCTATCACTAAAACATGTCCCTCAGAGCCATTTTGGACTGAACATATGATACTGACATGAGAAAAAGTTTACCAATACTTAATTTTCTATCTTTCTTATATCTTTAAAGATCTACAATGGATAGATGTATTTTCATGCTCATCTAATGCAAAGCAAAATCCCATGCCCTTCTCCTGCAAAACTTTTTAAACTGTTATTCTGTCCTCTATTTTTCATATATTTGTCACATCTGTGCCTTTTTGTCTATTTATTTATTTTTCTATAAAATTAAAAGAAAAAAAACACTAGGCTTCAATTCTTTTGGCGTTATGTCTAGAGTGGGTGATTGAAGTAAGAAAAAGTGAAATATTTATATAAATATACAAACTAGAAAAAAAAAATATATATATATGTTTAGAAGACTGTACCTGACCAGTTGTTTAATACAGAAAAACCTGAAACAAAACAATCACTTCTGCCAGCTCCTGAGGATTTTGTCACTGGCAACAGTAAAATATTTTGTACTTTACTTACACATGCCCTTTCATGCATGTATGGAAAATCACAGCTTTTTTTTTTTTTAATTGATCAAGGGAGCAACATTTTCATGCCATGTTCAGGATCTCTTTAGATAAATATCAACACCACATAAAACATTTCTTCTTTCTTTGACTACGGGAAATGGAGCACTATATAAATAATGTTGCAACTCACATACAGGCCAAAAAACAAAGTATACTTTGGGCTGATATCCCCCCCCAGTTTTCTGTATAATCACCATGTAGCCAAAATAATATGAAGCTGCTAAGTAAATATCTCTTCTTTTTCTTCGCGCAGATGAAATGACTACACATCTCTGGGGAGAAGGCATGAGACACTTGTCTCCACCTGGATTTCAACACCAGCTCTCAACTGAACATAAGATTACTATCTCGATTTTCTCCTCACACCACAATGACGGAAATCTGGATTGTTCCCTCCCATCATAAGACGATGTTTGTGAGGTGGAAACCTCTGTTATTAATGAACTTTTTAAGCGTCAGCGTTTGCTGCTACAGATCCAAGGCCACAGTTTGCCAGTTAGGAGAGAAACAACTAAACTTTGCTGAGGAGATGCAAGCTGTCCAACCTCAGACCACAGCTGTCAGGTTGGCCATGCACCAGAAGCTGCCATTTTGCCCATCATCACATTCTGTATCATTACTGCCCAATGCATTAAGTGGGTGTTTCAACACATTTATGACAAAATTTACTAGAGGTGACATTCAGTATAAATCCGTGGCTTGTTTTTCAGGCTTTAATGTTGAGATTTTCAATGCAGAGGGATGTTCAGAGAGATATTCCTAATTGTCTGGGTCTAATTCCCATTGAAAGTTGAACATCTTCAAATCTGGTCTATAGGTTTATCATAGAGCTAAAAGTGGGTGAAAAAATTCTAATGCAATTGTAATACTTCATCATAATAAACTGTCATAAAATCATATCCAAGCAATTTCATTCTTCACTCACACATGGGTACCATTTCTTATCCTCGAAATTCTGAAATTAGATGTTTTGTACTGTTTTAGTAATAGAATACTTGTCAGTCAAAGAGAGCCCTTCCTTTTTACCTATTTACTTTTGTTAAAGAAAAATTCTCAAGTATTGCACCATATAGTGAAACACAGTTTACAAGCAGGACTTTTCTAAAGACTTTTAAATCATTATTATGAAGAATTTTCTATCCTAAAATTCCTGTAATTATAATTTTTCTGAATACCTGAAAAAAACCCGGTGGTACAGGACCTACTGGCATGCCATCTCCCGGGGGAATGTTTCCTAGCACTGGACTGGGAGCTGCTGCAGCACTCTGAAAAGAACAAAGGGAAAATAAACCTTTGTCATTGAAAGGTAGGCAGTAAACCAAAAAAGAAAAAGAAGAAAAAAAAACCTGCTGTGACCAAATACAGAAAGTAATTCTCTAAGTATGTTGTTGTCATTGTTCTGAAGGCAAATTAGAATTGCTTAGTGTCTAGTCTTCTTTTATACAAGCATAACGAATTGCTAATAAGACACGTTTAAGTTGAGAGGAAGGATGCTAGAGATTGCACAGATACACATGTATGTATCAAATAGATAATCTCAATTAATTAAAAAATGTAAATGCAACTTGCATACTTTGTCATTGTTCTATGTGCACAAACATCTTCACACATACACAGACATACATGCAGCATAAAGAAACTTTTTTATGCATCTTACACGCAATTTCCAAGCACATTAGAGACAATTTTAGCAGACTTCAATACCCCTTCAGAAATATACGAAGCTTCAAAACAGGAATGTGTTACAAACAGTACATGAAGGAACGCTCATGACAGTTCTGATAGTACTACTCATGATTTTACGAACCCCCAGAATAAACACCATGACAAATTAAAAGAATTCAGGTTATATTTTTGGAAGGGAAAAGAAAAAACACATTTTTAAGAAGTGAATCAGAGGATGGAATTAGTTACCTTTGCAAATCCTTCAGCTGGAATAAGCATGTAAAGAATATTGCTCCTGGCAATTTACAAGCAGGAGATCGCCACAAAGAGGGAAGTCAAATTGTTGTTGTTGTCATGTATTGGAACCTCAATTACTTTTAATTTCTAGCACTCTTCCTAGAATACATTTCTGCTGGGCATAAGGCTGAATCACCTATAAATGCTTATAATCTTTTGTGAAAGTACTCATGCACACACAATGCAATGGCAGCCATTCGCAGTTTACTAATGATCTGCCAATATCTGCCCTACAAAATATGAATGACTTCTGTTTATTAACTTATCACTCCATTGCATGCTCACATTTGATATCCACAAGATGCAGATCTGGAAACTGCATTTCCAAATGTTTGGCACTCTGTCTAGGAAATTAAAGCATAATGGTTGTAAGATCTAAAAACTGGCACAAAGATGAGCTGACCTTTTTAAACCAAGTGGAAAGGAAATATTCAATTAATTGCCGGAGACTTTTCAATGGTCTAAACTGTGCTTTGGAATCATTTTTCTAACAGTAACATACTCAGCATTCAGGCAGTATGTCCTTTTCAAACAAACATCTATAATGTATCTTTAAAAGATACTGGCATCAGAGCTGACTGACACCTAGTTTTATTCACCATATAAGACTGTGATGAAGGCTCGTATTTTTGTGAATATCTGGACAGCAGGATCAGCGCTGAGACTGCAATTGACAAAGTCAGCCAGGTGAACTGCAGGTAGCAAATACATTTGAATCAGAATACTTTTTTGCTGGAGGCTTCGTAGACCAATCAGACCCACTCATAAATCTGCAGCAAATACAGTTATCCGCGAGCATAGCCTGAAGTTCATAGAACTAGAGCACAGTGCTGCCTGAATTCACAGAGATAACTCCTGAAGCAAAATAATGCTACCCTTCTCTGCTTTTGCAAAGCTTCTGTGGATGTCCACTACTTACTTTTAGATTATCTGCATTTCCAAAGGAAAGCAGAAGAGACAGATATTTGTAGTTGTTTATTTTTTATGTACAAAATGACTTGTTTAACCTACACATCAGATAATCATGTTGATTAAAATCCTGATTAGGTGCAGAAACAATTTGAGTGAAGTATAGTGGATCTTCCTTATTTCTAGATGAATAATAACATTAGCATTACTGAAGAAAATCAATGACATTAAAAGCCTGAGCATTTCAAGCCTTCCAAAACAGCCTGCACTGCATTCTCTGTACGCCATTAAAGGGGTGCAAATAATGATGAGCCTTATTTCAATATCATCCCTTGCATACCAATTCCTGTCTGTCGCTGTGCAATCCTAGCAGTCTATCTTTATTGGCAATGTGTGAAGCACTGTAACAGGTCTATTGGAACTGATGCTACAGAATAATGCATTTTAACAGATTATAATTACTGGACAAACACATCTCAACAGTATGAAGTCAGATATACAAATCCTTTAAGTTGCTCTCCGAAAAAGAGCTGAGCAGCACCTCCACTGACACATGAACAGTTTTCAGAAGCCTTCCAATCCAAGCTTCACCCTCCTGCTCACATTATGGTTTAGAGTAGTGCTTACTAACAAAGAAATCACAAAGTAAACATCAAAGACGAAGTTACAAAGAAGTGTGTTATATTAATTTACTCATATATATCACAAAATGTTTCCACAAGGAGGCAACTTCAAATCTGTTAGAAGTTTAGTGAGGAAGATCTACAGCTGCCCTCATTATCCAAACAATCCTCCCCACCAGCCTCTGATCTGCACAGCTAGTTGCAGAGCCTCTGTAACATGGCTCTCAGCCTCCCAGTAACGGGGTAAAGTATCTGGAAGAGCACAACCTACCTACAGCATCTACACACTTCTGCTGTACAGCTTGACACACTACAAGTATAGCAGTGAAAGCAGCACGTGTTGCACACATTACAGTGAACCCTAGCAGCATAGGAAAATCTTTCACACTGGTAAAATTTTGTAGCAAAAATGTCTGTGAGGTGACTCAGAAAGAAAAATTTCTAACCTGCCTCTGTGAGTCCTACCATGTGAATAGACCAAGAAGAAAAATTCAGTAGCTGAACTGGCTTCAAATTCTATTATTGCAGTTGCATGTTCTATGCACCGATTTTCCAAAGCCAAAATGAGGAAAAACAACAACAAAAGACAAAAATACATTATGTTTATACTATCTCTCAGAACTCTTAAGTCTAGGTAGCACTTGCTGAAAACACGGCATAGGAACTTTCCATTGCAGAGACCAACAATTCAGGGATGACTTGAAAGCTTTTAATTATTCCAAAACTTCAAATCTGATTTTGGATGAGAATCAGAAAAAAGCTTCTGGTGTACTTTCTAATACTGCAAGTTAATGACAAACATACTGTAGCTTTCTTTCTTCTTTCTGGATCAGAAAGAATTCAGAAGGATTCAGAGTTAGGTCACGAGAATTTTGACAAGATCTTCAGAAATAACAGCACTTATAACAGTTTTTCTGGAATTCACATTTTGCATTCATATATTATGATATTTTCATAGGAAACCCACTACATACAAATACAGAGAACTGTTCTAGTACGTAAGAAGAATCATTTTACATTTCATGTAAACCTTAATGTGAGAATGATGTACTTCACTGCTCAAGTTTCCAAATATAGATGAAATGGACACTTATCTTGGTGTTTAGGACCATTTTGACATTGCAATAAGTAAAATGATTGTCATTTTATTTTAAAATTAATTAATTTTCTAATGTAAATGAATTTAGGTAAATGATATTAACGTGATTTTTTTGAATATAGTATATATGCAACCAAAATATAGCAGCCAGACAAAAATGTTCTGTCACAGAGAAAACAAAACAATAAATTCCTCTAACATAACACCATTTCAGGCTAATGTTACACTTACATGACACCAACAAGAAGGTATTTTACACAAGAGAACAGCAACAGTAACTGTTTCCAAAAAGTGCTGCAGTCTCAAAATGCGAGCTGTCACTTGTTGACACTGCTTTGTGACACACAGCCCGGGCAGCTCCTTCCTTCTACATGGCCTACGTGCTCAGCACCCAACACCTCGGCTGCATCTTCTTCAGCTTTGTGCAAGTATCTCCACAGAGGCAGGCACGTGCAAGGATTGATGTGAACGATAATCACAGGGAAGTGACAGCTGCTGCTGGTATGAAGTTTTAAGCACAGTAATCGCAGCCTACCTGGGGAGGGAAAGCTGAAAATGCCTGATTTTTGGTAGAAATCTCCTTGAAGTTGACATTTAAAGCCCACACTGCTACTAAGCTTAAATAAGACTCTGCTAGGCAGTCGAAAGCTCTGAGATGAACACAGAGGCAAGTTCATATCAAAGTCAAATGCCTTCCCAAATCAGTACTGCTTATTCACCACATGCAATGAGAACTGTAAATAAACATGATGGGGACATCAGGTTTATCGGTGACCAGTCCTTGATGCACCAAAAGAGCAGCAAAATAATCCACAACCCAACTTTCTCTTTGTCACTTTCTCATACCCTCTTTTTCCCAATATTTTTTGCAAGTTAAGCACAGTGTTCTGGCTGCTGTCTCACAAGAAGTGTGAATACGAATAACATATCCAAAATCTAACTACTTATTACCTACTTACTAGTTATTATCTTAAAGAATACCCTCTAATTCACAGAATTTCATACATTCTCCAGCTTTATGAAAACAAACAATTAAGTGAATAGAAACAGACAACAAAAAGTGCATATTACATTTTACCAAGTATTTTGGATGCAAATATGTTGTCTTCATAAGAACCCTTGTAAGATGTTTTGTTTTGCACAGGGGACAAAGGACAAGAAATATTTAGTACTACTTATTCAAGATCATAAATTTAGGGAATGGTGGAAACAGAGGATTTTTTTTCTTGACAGATAAACAATTAGTAGATGCAAGTCATTTGAAAGATCTGCACTGCAAGTCCTAATTGCTGATGTTTTGCTGATACACCTTCGTCTGAAATGTTTAATTTCAGATAATAGTACTAGACTAAGAAGTGCCGTTGTAAAGGATCATAACGCTACTCCTCACAACTTCACTTTTTTTATTTTTTTCCCCCTGAATTGCAGCTCCCTACAGATAAATTTAGACTCTGAAACTATTTCTGTTTGCTCCATCTTACACAGTATTACCAGTGAATGGATAATGTACTACAGCAATAATTCTACTAATAGCCTATTTTTTTCTTCTGTTGTCTGAAGGAAAAAAAAAAAACCCACATTTGATCTTTGGGGGGAAAAATAATGGATTTCCCTCAGTTTACTTTGTCAGACCTTCAATAAGGTGGGGGTCCATGGAGAATACCACTTTCCT